ATACATGTTTCTTTCGTTGAATGTAGCGTAAAATTTGATATATTGGAAAAGTTTATTAAAAAGATTTCTTCTCAACTAAAAGTATGGCATTTAAATACATTCGGAGAAACGGCTTATCTTGATGCAAATAGATGGAGACGATTAATAACAAATCATATACCTCACTTGTGTAAATTTTATTTCAATCATTATATGTCTATTGATGATGGTGCTAATCCAGACTATGAATCAATCAATCAGTTCACATCGATATTTTGGACTAAACGACAATGGTTTTTTGAGTTGAAAGAAAATCTTGATGAATTCGTATATTCTATTCATCCATATAGGTAGATCAAGAAGAGTATCCTCATCTGATTCATATCTCTTGTGTTTTTCTTTTTTCAGAAAAAAATGGTACGATTATCATGAGTATGAGCAATTTGATGTATATTCAGATGGAAATATTCATCAACAAACATCTAAATTTGTTGACATATCTTGTCAACAAGACATGAACAATTGTTTCATTCAACCTATTTCACATATTCAACTTAATATTGAGAGCAATGCCTTTGCTGTTTGGTATCCATCATATACGGATCATATGAAACCCTGTTTGTTGGCTGTAAAATTTACTCATTTAAATATTCAATGTAGTGAGATTCCAATTGACATGTTGATGGAACTTATACTTCTAATGCCTAATCTTCAATCATTGGAAGTATCATCGTTACCATTATTGCAATTAAGAAGCTTATCTGTGGGAAATACAGAAATGCTCTTATTGGTATCAATTACTAACAAAATTACAACAGTAAAACTCGATAAAATGGTAGAAGTAGAACAAGCTCATTTTCTTATGAATCTTTGTCCTGGTATGCAATACTTCGAGATAGATTATATAGAAGAGAACGATTTGGAGAATATGGTAAAATCTATTTCAATGAACAATATCACATATATTCTTAAACTTTGTTATTTATGTGTAAATGCACGTAATGCAAATGAAAAGACAATTCAACGATTAAATGTGATTATTGATTTAGAGAGATTCTTTCATCCTGAGCAAGCTTTTTGTGACTGCACAATTCGACGTATACGTGATAAAATTTTTTTTAAATGGAAATTATAATAGACATTCTTTTATGATTTTTTTCTTATTGTATAACGTTATTAACAAATAGAAAACAATCATATATATATCATTAACATATTTAGTTCAGAATATTTTATACAAATGGTTTGTTTTGTAAAATTTTCATAATATATATTTTTCAAAAGAATTAGATATATATCAAGAAGCTTATCTAATTTCTTCTTTTGATAAATAAATTGATTATGTAATAGACTAAGAATGAAGTTGTAACACATGTTTCAATCATTTCCTTCTTTTGTTTGTCAACTCTATCGTAGAGCAACAATTATTTGATTCTTTTTTTTTTCCTACTTATGGTATGACTCAAATTTTACTTTCTATTGTTTTTTGACGAATAATATTTAAATAGTCATGCTAAGAGAAGAAACGAACATGATGCAAGAACATTTGGTTGACATTGACAGAATATATAAAAGCATACGATTGTGAAGTATTTCATCTAATAAAATATGTGATAATATTTATCTAACAAATGAAAGAAATAAAATAAAAATTATACGAAAAGAACATGAAGTATTCTAATTAGACATATATATGGGACAAAAACTCAGCGATCTTCTGAGACCAAATTACGGTGGAGACTAGCTAAAACTCAGAGCACATTGGAAGAAAACCGACTAGTGAAAAAAAATAATGATATCAAAACCAAAGATTAGTGTTAAATATTCGTATAAACTATACATATCAAAACAAAGCTGTTAGCACAATCTCTGTAGGATTAAAATATGAAACATGATAACGGGTGGGCCAGGTTGAATTGTCGCGCTTTGTATTTCAAATTTCATTTGCTTAATATAATGTGTATTATAAAAACAAAATATACCAAAAGATGCAGCGTGAAAAGTTCTACAATTTACACAGTAAAGCTTATTGTAATTGTTTTCAAAAAAAAGTAAAATTCTCTGCGATCAATTTTCGCACAGTCGAAATTTGATCGCTCAAAATTTCGTTCATTTTGAAAGCAAAAAGTTCAACTATAAAAAAAGCTGCTCTATGTAAATTGTAGAACTTTTCACGCTGCATCTTTTGGTATATTTTGTTTGTATAATACATTATATTAAGCAAATGAAATTTGAAATACAAAACGCGGCTATTCCACCTGACCCACCCGTTATATTTTCTGTTGTTAATTACAGAAGATCACTTTATTCTGTCGACTTTAAAATACATTTATTCATTAGATTTTTACTTAATTCTTCAGATATGCAATAAGAAACGTAATTCATATATATGAGAACGATCTCTTATTGATATACGGTCTTTTGATCGTATATCAACAACGTCTGACATAGTTTGTTAAGAAGAGTTGATCTAAATTCTACCTTTATATTTCAACAATTCTTTTGAGATCACATTTCACAAAACCTCGAAGACTGCTAAAGAATGCTTTTTTTTAATTTCTCGACTGAACTAATAAAGACCATGTATTCAAGGTTTTTTCAGATTTGATGAAAACAAATGTTAAAATAATACTTTCTCGATTGAAGCTAAAAGCAAGATAAAGTTCTACAAAAAAACAAGTAGAAATATCAGGATCGTTGAAAAAGAAAATGTCAGAACTACCCCAGAATATAAAGAAAACTTAATTCCACACATTTCTTTTTCTTATACTTCAGTACTTTTCGATAATTAGCTACCCGAGACAGTGAAAAGTATTGACGTTTGTGTAAAAATATGATGGATTGCTTCAATCTATCAGTTTGATGAAAGTAGAAAAGTATTTGATTCTATACAGTGTGAATCAAAGGTAGAATTTCGCGTTCCTAAACCTTGTAGTCTCGCCGGTAGTAGATAAAATGTAGAATAATCTTGTAACAATCTATCATTTACCAGAAGAAAATGAAATTTACATAGGTTAGTCAACAAGTTCTCGGACTTTGAAATATTTATTCATAGAAAAAATATTTTGCTAATCTTTTTACAGTAAATGTTCAAAGTAGTCCCCGTGATGTTCAGTACAAAGTTTCATCCTTTCAATCCACTCCTGGAATGTCTTTCGGTATTCTTGAATAGACATTAAATTAAGCTCGTTGGTTATTGCTTTAGCTAAACTTGTAGCATCTGAATATGTATCAAAGCTGTGTTTCAGACAACCGAACAACCAAAAGTCTGAAGGAGTACGATTAGGTGACTATGGTAAGTGAGCCATAACTTTCATTTTTTTCTCTTGAGGATAATAAAAATTGAGAACAATATCTTGAATATGTGATTTCGCAATTTTATAATGCAAATTTATGCTACTTGTTTATGATGATGTTTTTTTCTTACGTAAATTTTTGACTTAAATCTTCAAGTATTTATCACGATAGTTTATATGATAACTGTGTCTGACGAGGGAACATTCCCAAGTGATGCCAACCATTCGGGCTCACATTTTGCTGATAAGTGGGATCCAGTGAGACTAGAAAAAGTCTAAAAGATTTCATGCCATTAGACCTTTCTTTTAAAATTATGACCGTTTTACTGAATTTTCGGCTCTAGGTAAGGAATTTGTAGAAAAATTAAATGATGGAATTTCGGGCTGAAATTTCATCATTCAATTTCTTTACAAATTCCTTACCCAGGGCAGAAAATTCACTAAAAGGGTTATACCTTTAAAAGAAAAGTCTAATTTCACGAAATCTTTTTGGACTTTTTCTAGTCTCACTGGATCCCACTTATCAGCAAAATGTGAGCCCGAATGGTTGGTATCACTTGGAAATATTCCCTCGTGAGATGGTAGTAACATAATCAATACTAATATGTGGATCATCATTCACCAGGTCCTGGATCGCATCAATATTTTGTTTAGTAATGACGGTTATTGGACGACCATTGCGAGAATTATCTTCCAACGACTCTCGTCCACTTGACAATCGATCAATCCAATGAGCAACTGTACTATATGAAACAACACCTTGCCCATAAGCAGTAGTTAATTCATCATGAATCTGTATAGTATTTAAACCTAATAACCAACGAGTTTTTACATATAAGCGAATACAAAGTTTATCCATCTGAGAACAGAGGTGTTGAAAAAATTGATTAAAGATTTGTCATAATAGACACTTGTAAAACTTCGTATTTGTATTTTAACACAGAACAGATTTCACTACTAGAATAGGCCAATATCAGGAATAAAATCAATCAGGATGAAATTTTACAGTACTATTACGAGAACTTTTTAACTACCCTATGTAAACGATAATAGAAAATTTTCACAATAATTAACGTCTATTTAAGCCTTTATTTGTTCAATATTAGGTGGATTTGAATTTACTCAAGCTTCATGATTCTATCACCTATGACTTCGATTTTCTGATTCAACTTATAGAGCATTCCGATTTGAATATCTATCACAGTGTCTTAAATTAAATTAGCATCAAATTATTTAGATTATCTTAATATGTATTGATGAAAACAATTGATCTGAAACTATATAACTTGTCTAAGTAAATATTAATTTATTTATCATTGGATTCTATTCGCTTCATATTATTTTATTCGAATTTCAATTTGATATAGATAGTTGATCTGATGACCAACTTATTTATTCGTTTCTTTTTAAGTAAATTGAATGAATTACCAGTATTGATTACTTTTGTCTTTGCATGCAATATTTCATATTGAAATGTTCGTTTAATTCATTCTGATAGAAAATCTTGTAAACATACTTAATCTTTGTATATTATAGTTTCATCATTCGATTTCTCAAGTGGAGATTATCGAATATTTAAAAAATAAAAAACAATGATATGTATGTGATCATATTTATTTATAACGAAAAAATAATAATAATCTTTGTATTTTAATAATTTAT